CAGATATCGGAGTTGAATAATAGCATATTGAATACAAAATAATCAATGAAATGTAGGAAATTTGTCCAAAATAGTGATAGCTTGAGATACATTGTAAATATCCCAAATATTCAAAAACATGGAAAATACAATGTATGATTTTTAAATTTCCTCAATTGTAATTTCATTATAATTTTGTGGAATAACTGTCATATGTTTCAGAATAAATATCTGCAGTAACGATGAAAACTACTTTCGACACCTTACATTATTTATCCCAACTCCATGCAAGCATTTATAGTAAATGAATCCACACAACAAGTTCATCTACATTCAGTTTTGGTAGAATGTATGTCATTTATCAATGAGTATGCGTGGTAAATAAATTATTTTTCTTAAGGCCAGTCAAAAAATAATAAACGAACAGAGTTTCTCTCAGCGAGAAGTCATCACTCAAAATGTCAATATTCTTCACGCAGTTATGACAATGACACTCAACATTCAACACATTCAGTAACACCAACAATCGTTAACATGAATTATTTATTGGACAATCTCTCCATCCGTAGCAATCGTGTTACTTCGCGTCTGTACTGATTAATACATCACCGAACAAAAAATTATGCAATTGAATGTTAATGTTATTTTTATTGCTATTATTATTGCTCACGTCTTCACAATGCAACTCGTGCGTTTCTCAGTAATGTTTACGGCTACTTTCTTTTACATTCTGCATCATTACAGTTCCTGATCTTGAAAGTTTATTTATTTTGTGGCCAGCTTTTTCCCTTGCCTTGACCAAGAACTATTTATCATTCAAACCAGTTGATTCTTCTGGTTTTTACGTCTCAAAAATACCCGATATAAAACGCTGTGGTATGGTTCTGAATGTAGTATTAAATCACGATGGATGTTAGGTTAGTTCCATGCACTGATTTAGAACAATAGCTGTATGCGCACAATGGATAAAAGTAACGGTATTCTCGTAATTGAGTTGAAACTAAGTGAGGGTAAATAAAGTATTGACATTGGGTTGATGAAAAAGTCATTGTGTTGAATAGCTTGACAATATCTAATGTAGGTACTAGTAGATACAAAAGGTAACTTTACTCGGGTGGTATAAAGTGTAGGTAAATAATGTCGGTCTTTGTCTTTGTGCCTTTTTCAGATTGGATTAACCTCATTCACATAACAGGAAGAAGTATTTCATAGTTTAGAAAATAGATAACAACTTAAATGCAATCAATATCCGGAGTAAACGCATACTTTACAGATATATTAATAACATAAAAGTTTATGAGAAGATTATACTCCAGGACAGACATTCCGTATCACCACATCATCATAAATTGCATTGATTCATAAATCAACAGGTTGTTCCTCATGATACCGATGGTATAAAATAGAGATAAGTGTAACTGCTGCGAAAAGAATGTTGAGGTTCATCAAAAATATTTGAAATGATTATTAGAAAGAGACTTGTTTCGTATGTCAATAAATATAAAATAATATCAAATAGTCAATTTGGATTTAGGGAAAACTTATCAACNATCATTGACATTGAAAGTTATTGATGTTTTAAATGAAAGTAAACCATCGCTGTACATATTCATAGACTTATCGAAAGCTTTTGACACTGTCGGTCGTCATCTTCTCTTACAGTCTCTAGAGGACATTGGAATGTTGGGTAATATATTCATTTTCATTGTATTGCCTTATGGTATTGTTCATCGTTCATATATTTGTATTATTATTATCTACATTCATTATAGTTTATACTCTTACATTCTATATTTTACATCTAACATTTTATAGTTCATTTTTCTCACATGTTACATTCTTCTCTGTGAAACAAGTGCTTACACTTATCGCAAAAGTTCCTTATTCACTACCATCATGTATTCATTATTGCATTTAAAATATTGTAGTGAATGAAGTTATTACTATTATTATATTATAAATTCACTCTTGCAAAAAACGATTAAAAAAAAAGAATAACATCCCGTTTTCTAGATTAGTTGCAAGAGTAATGACAACCTGGTCTTCCAAAGTTCCTTCTTGGGTTTGTTATTTCTCTTTACCTGTGTAGGGTCACATATCAGCCACATTTTGATTTCCATTTTTACAGGTTTGAGAAGCTTATACTGTTTGATTGAAGATTAAATTTTCATTCATTTAGTCATTGATTCATCTATACTCTGGAAACAACTATCTGTTCGATATTTTTTGAAAGTTTTTTCAAGCAAGTGACAATATCATCTAAGTAATAGTTTTTTTGGCATCCTTCGGTTTTCCTGGTAGAGCAAAATGCATCTACGATGAAAGTAATTTATATCATTTATACTCATTAAGAGGGTAGTACATTTCATTGGGGAGAAAGTATTTTACTTCTTTTCTGAATAATTTCATATAATCACATTTTATTACATAATTAGAAAAGTAATTAAATATTTTTGATACTAAGTAGGTAAATTACCTGTAGATCTGAGGCAAGGAAACTCAACTTATATTTATTATCGAAAACATATATGAAAACTTCAGTCTAGAGTCTAATGAAACCTTAGAACAGTTCTTTACAAGAATATGAATTAATATTTCCTGCAATATGGCGTGAAATAAGTTTTTGATTGAAAGCTCCTGAGGTCAGTCCCGAGTTCTCCCAGAAGCAAATATCAAATCTCAACAATGATTCAACTTCCACACAATGTAACTGATTCTAAAGTAGAATGGATCTAATATTATAAATAGCTATGCTAAAGATTACAGTTTTGATATATGTGGTTCGCCACATACTTTCCAATTTGAGTTTTTTTATTCTTTATTTTCAAGTAGTAAAATAATAGATACGAAAGTTAAACAAATTATGAAACAACAAAAATTAATTAGCGCTCCGGGACTACTTGATTGATTCTAGTGGCTCATTTGCCTTTTCAGCTGCAGGAAAACCTGGAAAAACCTGCAGCACCACATCATCTGAAGATCATAATCTGCCAAAGTTTTCTATTCCATAGAATAAAATGTAGGGTGTCTCCAGAGGCTCCAATAAATTCAAGATATCACCAGAATATTTAGTGACACGACAATCATCAAACTTGAACCAATCCGTTTCGTTTTTGACCGATGCTTAATAATGACCAGTGGTCTGCTAGATTGAAGTGTTCATCTATTTCGAACCTTCGTAAGAGTTTGCCGCTTCTCAATAGAGTACCATTAGATGAAAATAAAATGTCTTTAAACTTATCAATGAGCTGCCAAAGAACTCAAGATAATTCACTTCTATCGAATATCCAAGAAAAAAATTGTGTGTATTATATGTTTAATTTACAACCGAAAACACATTGTTGAAGAATCTTTCATAAAAATAATATGAAGTCTACACGTGAGGTGAATTAATATATTCTAGTTGTTTTCTCTTGTATCTATTTGTGATGAATAAACATATTCATTATTTACGGGATATTATAGAATATAATGAGGAGCTTTATGAAAATATATAATTTTGCTATGGATGGCATAAAATTATGATTTTGCGTATTCCACTTTGTAGAGGTCTTTCTTCGCGACTCAAGAAGTGAACAAATGTAGTTCAGAAGAAAATATTTTTTTTGAATTGGTTCAAGAATATTACCAAAATTGTCTGGTCGATTCAAAAGCATTAATTTGTCTCTCAGTGAGTGGATATTTATTTTTATTTTCAATGTGTGGTACATGGCCGATGTATTCACATTTTATTTCATCAACCATTATTTTCATTTCAATTGATGAATTGAATCTTTTTTTTGCAAGGCCTATGGTTTTTCAAAGTGAATAAGAGTATTGATCTTCCAAGGTCAAGAGATGTAATTTAGATTAGATTTATTTCGTTAATTTTCATCAGGTTACAACAGAAAGAAAATTATCAGGGTAAGTGATCATTGGATACAAGAATCTTGCCCACTGAGAGTCAAAAATGACAGCCTTCTACATTTGTCCGGTTCATACATTTGTCCGGTTAAGATTTCTGCCATAGTGGCGTCAAGCCAATATTAGTCTGAAATTCGAGAGTATTGAGGTCATTATGTCACCAAGGGTTTCAATAATCAAAATAACCATTTTTGGAAAATATTCGCCCCACCTGAAAATGAAAACCACACATCGATATAATATTACTTTTGATAGCCAAGGTTGGAGATTGGGTGGAGATTGAAAAAAATTCAATATCGTTCTGTGTACAGGGCAACACCAATATCTTGTCAATACCATAGGAGTGCTGAAAGGGGTAAGATAAAGAACTCGTAGGTCCGCGTTAATTTCAACTCCTCTGCGGAGTGAGACCTAACCCCTGAATTAAGAGTTAAACAATACCTCTTTTGAAATGTCATCGATTTCTCTGTTTAAAATATGTTTTTCTGTTAATCTCTATTTAGCCTAAAATAGAAACTAGGGTTATTTTTTTCAGTTATTCAGTATTCAGTATGGCAACTTTGCCATAATTTAATAAATTCTATTTCTTACTATTTTCACAATTACCATGCAAAGATCTGAATTTGAATAGTCCAGCATATTTTGTGAAATGAAATATCGGATTGATTAAATAATTATTCAATTTGGATCATCAAGGCTAATTGATTTTTTTTGTGTTTCTCCAAAATGATTTTGGTTCTTGTTGCAGGGGTGAGAAACAACTTGAAAGATAGTGAAATTTTTGGCAATATGGATCTCCTGGAGCCTTATTTGAATAAGTATGAATATGCACTCCAGGAAATATTAGAAACATTATTAATATCCTTCTTTTTTAGAATTTTCTTGATGTTTTTGACTGATAATCAGTACTTACATTTGGCAGGGGAAGATTGTGAGTTTTACAATTTTGTATTATGAAATCACTAATATTTGTCCTTTTTAGTGAGAGTATCCAGAGATCATGTTTTTCATTTAACTTTTCCTAAAGATTGGAAATTAAATAATATTTTACAATTATTTAGTCCATTTGGTGAGTGTGAATTATGAATTACTTTTTATACCTTAAAAAAAATGTCAGAAAAAAATGATACAATATTAACATTATAATCATTTTTTAGGCAATGTTCATGTATCTTGGATCGATGACACTTCTGCCTATGTTGGGTTGGCCAAGCGAGATCAAGCTGCATTAGCATTCAAAACCCTATCTCAAAGTGATTCTTACAGTATTATGCTGTATGATAGAAGAAGAGCTATCTTATCTGGAATATCGACACCTTTATGTTCCCCTAAAATAGGCAAAAAAAGAAGATCATCAGAAAGTCTTCCTAGTTCCAAAAAACGAAGAACAGATAGTTTTGGCAGGTTAGGAGGTTTCAGATATAATTTCAAAATGATGTTTTTGCACATGGTAATATTATTAATAATAACGATAATAAGCTGTTTCAACTCGACGTAAAGTCCCGAAAAATTATGCATCTCTATAGGAGTTTGCATCCCAAATCGTCCATTTCACGATTGTACTTCCCCCGACAACAGGGAGGCCGTGGACTTTTGAGTTTGCAGTATTTACATGATAGAATGGTACTGGATGTAGCCTGTAAAGTCGTCAGTAGTTTGGATCTCCCTGTCTGCATGGTCCGCGACCATGTGAGAGCCGGAATTGGAACATTTTTTTTAGGGCAGCTGCTCGAGCAGCTGATGAACTCTGTTTAGTTTTCGACACTGAACGAGGTGATCACAACTCTGTCATCGAGTTGAAACCCGTTCAGCAAAAGGCTCATAAAAAAGCCGCAGAGATCACTTCACTTCTGCGGCAACACAAGAATAAACCAATGCATGGGGTCTTCTTCAATTACATTGAAGACCTTGGCTTATCAAAGCGCCTGGCTTTCGCTTTCCTCAGATCAAGTGGACTGAAGTCGGAAACTGAAAGGTTCATCATGGACTGCCAGGATGGTGTCTTCAACACTTTAGTCTACCGCAGTCGCGTGATGGTTATAGAGTTTCCTGAAACAAGGTGCAGAGCCTACCGCGAGGCGTCCGAGACACTAATGCACTTGCTATTAGCATGTGCTATGCGGTCTCGGCCTGTATCCATCAACATAATGTGGCCCTAAGAGTGCTTTATTACCATCTATGGCACTCTTACGGTATTGACGAGACAAAGGTGTTGCTCTACGCTCCGGGGGATATTGAATCCGTTGTGGGGAACGAGTAGTGCCGAATTTATTGGGACTATTCGTTCTCCACCCTCAGGCTCATACAAGCTAATAAGCCTGATGTAGTCCTGTAGCCAGTTCCTGACTAAACGAATATCGTCCGAAAAGAGGAGGAAAACGGATAAAATATCGAGATATTCTCTTCGAACTCCGCAGACTCTCTCCAGAGAACTATGTCAAGATGGTTGTTCTGATTATTGGAGTGCTTGGTGGAATGATGCCCTCTATACTCTCGAATTTTAAAATCATACCAACTTGCCGCATTAAGGCAGAAATCTTAGCCGAACAGATTCAGAAGGCTGTCATTCTTGGCTCACTGCGCTTGCTCAGGGCACATAATTTCCGGACTCAATGATCACTTACCCCACGGTGTGGGTGGTGGTCGTTGGTTGATAATGAAATAGGTATAGGACATAGTTGATTAAAGTTGTTCACATTGGTTGGCTGAATTCGAAAATTGAATAATATACAGGGTGTTCAATTAAAAAAATAGTTATGGTCGTTTTTCAAAGATACAAAGTGAGTAGTATTTTTCAGACACTCTGTATAAAATAAGATTTGAGTTTCGTTCTGAAATAATGACCACCATACCTCATCTCAATGTAGCCAGAATTTGAGTTCGATGTATTAGTTAATTCATGCGATATTAAATATTAAAAATAACATGTTTTTGCCAAAAATAATTACAAAATGATTATTATTTTAAAAACGGTGAGAGATAGGTATAGAAAGAACATGGTTCACAAAAGCAACTTGGATTTTGATGCAGAATTCAAAAATGATATAATATATAGGGTGTTCCATTTGAAATTTCCATGTTGATGTCTGTTACATGTAGATGTGGCAACAACGTGGCAATGAAAATATTTTCAAACGATAGATCACAGCCATCTACATCGGTAACCAAAATTTGAAACTCATCTTTTTTTGTTCTCTAGCTACGTCTAAAAGACCATCGAATATGGAATACCCTGTATATTCATTAGAAGACCATTATAGAAATATTAACATCTTTTTACAAAATCATATTTAGTTTTGTATCTTTCTTTGCAGCAAACAAATCAATTACCTCCTCGGTGTCGATGTCAATTCTACGGTGGATTGACATTAACGCCAAACCGTTTAGTCGTTCCTGGCTTGTGGATTTTCTTAAATGAGTTTTGAAGCGTTTCAGAGAAGAAAAAGTCCTTTCAGGGGTACATGTGGAAACAGGTAGTGTCGCCAAGATCTTTAAAACTTTGTACGCACATTGCCGTAAGGTTTTTTCATTGTGTTTCGGGGAAGTTTTTTTCAATATTCTCATTCAAACACTTGGTTCGTTTTGCCAAGGACTTGATAAAATTTCTAACGGATTTTATAATTCAAATAGTATTTGTATCTGTAGAGTAGGGAGGGTGAGTGTAGGCCCACAGAACTTAGGCCAAATGTGACTCATTGTACATCCTCCCAAGGAGTTGTCCTTCTAGGTCATCGTCCATCCTGTTCTTTCCAGGAAGGTGGACAGGTCACAAGGAGACATCTCCTTTATATCGGCAGGTGTAGGCCAAGACTCGCCGCATACACAGTCTCTCTTATTGAGGCATAGGATATGCCTGACAGTTTCATATTCCTGTTAACACATCCTGCATAGAGATGTGTCCACTAGCCCCATATTATGGAGGTGTTTTCTTAGTTGACAGTGGCCAGTCAAAAATCCTACTGTTTAGCGTAGACTTTCTCTGATCATCTCCAGATATTTCTTCGGCGCCAGATTCCCTGGGTCGCCCAGGGTTATCCTGGCAAGATTACATCCTTTGATTCCATCCCATCTCTTCAGGGGTTGAGCATGGGTGTAACGTTTGGCTATCCCCACAATTGTCGAAGTCATCGGGCCGTATGTGCCACTGGGTCCTAAAATTTTTAGTCCAGCCGCTTCCTTGGCAAAATAGTCGGCAATACGATTACCTTTACTCCTGTCGTGCCCTTTAATCTACCTGAGGATAATGTTATTATCTACCGAGGTTTTGGCTAAATCTTGGTGGCACTTTATTACTAGCCCTGTTTGTTCAAGGCTAATAGGGCTTGTCTGCTATCAGTGCAGATTGTTATTGTTTTTGTGGCAATTGAGATACCAGCCAGTTCTGTTTGAACCACGCTGGTATTTTTTCCATTCCCCACTTAATCCATAGGCTTGGTGATCCGGAGTACATTTCACATCCTGATGAGCCTTCTTTGGTTTTTGAGCCGTCTGTATATATGCGTATTGCATTTGTAGTATTTGACTTCGTGTCCTGTTTTATTTGTATTTTGTAGGGTTCATTGAACACAAACCTGGGTTCAATTGCATTACTGGTTGTCTGCAGCAGAGGTTGCGCAGTGAGCGCTTCTCGCCATAGGCTCAGCCTCAATTGACCCATTCCTACTTCGAGGTTTACACCAGCCGTGATTAATTCCATTGTCGCGATTGATGTTGTTCTCATGGCTCCTGTGATGTTTAAACAAGCCAATTGTATTAGATATAATTTTTGGATGGCCGTTGCTTGTAGAACTTTCGGGGGGATCAATCTCCCTTTGTCCCCTCCTGGCTACGGCCTTGTAATTCAGTATACTCGAAGAGAAACTGAAAAATCTTGTAGGACTATCATCATGTATTGTTGAAGGAATTCAGTACATTGTTAATGAAACCTTGTTTGTGATGCTATTTGCCAAAATTAATGTTGAAATTGCTGCCAGCACGATATTTGCATTTGGTGAAAACTTATTATATTTCTAGAAAGGGTATCCTCAATATAAGTGTATGCAACATACACACATGTACACAAAGCACGCGCAGTACGTATTCACTCACATTATACACTAACATTAGCATAATCATACGTCTGAATCATTCCCGGATGGTAATCTGTAGGGAAAGTGTTTTCAATAGATAAACACATAGATATACAAAAAATTACATAACAATCTGAGTCAGTTATGTTAAAAAATCCTCCACTGTGAAAAAAAATTCATTCGGAAACGAAAGTAAGTTTTTTTTTGTTTCATATTCGTGCGTAAGTTGTACATTCTAGTTTTTTATCGACCTTTTTTGGGTATTTGTTACCTTCCACAATCTGAAAAATATAAAAATTATAATGGAGAACTTTATACACGTGTAGAAGGGCAAACTTTTAAGTTAACCCCGATAAGTTACTGCGTAAAAATTAAAGTATTTTTCACAAAGAAAAATCTTCTATTCATCAGTAACTTGTCGTATTTAACAATTTTGCCTATCAAAAAAATTATTTATTAGATATAATATTTATCTTTTACGTTTCGGAGAAACGGATCCAGAAATGGATAAAAAAATTCGAATATATTCGCAGTTATTCCTTTTTTGATATCTTATTTCTTTACTTCTTCGACAGATGTCAAAGAAGTTTTGAAATATGAAATTATATTTGAATATTGTACATTCTAATTCCATTAGTAATGTGTATTATGATGAAAACAAGTTATAAAATGAAAACAAACCATTTAAAACGCACAAATTCACAATAGATGTTTGAACAATCTTCCATTTGCATAAGTCAACAATTTTCCTTCGAATTTTAATCAAAGTTGATCTTGTAATAGACCAGAAAACTTCTAATTCTATTCTTCTTCTGTCGTTGATTCCTCTCGACAGATCTCTTTATTAACATTTTCCCATAGATAGAAATCTAGGGGTGTGAGTTCTGGGGATTTTTCTTAATGATTTCTAATGTTTGAAGATTGCAATTCTCAGGAAACAAATATCTCGGTAAAGAATTCGAATGCTAGTTTGTTCAGTTCAAATGTACTTATGATGAACTGTTTGGAACCTTTGGTGTAGTAATGAATATTACTGGAGTTTTTTTTTCTAAACACCAAATCGTTATTTTTAACACCTCGACACGTGTTTCGATCACCAAGTGATCATCTTCAAAGAGGTGTTCAGTTCAAAACAAATCAAACATAAGAGTGAGAGCAAGAAGTAAGACAGAGGGTGAGAGGGTGGTGGGTACTGAGTGGGTCTCCGACTTACAACAATGTGGTGGGAAAAGTGTATTTTTTGTGTTTTCACAACGAAACTATCGATATTTCAGAAGTTGTTGGAGGGTATCTTAGTAGTCAGAAGCGCAGGTCGTTTTGAAATTTGGGCATAGC